ACGCGCCGAGGACGGGCATCGAGACAGACACCGAGTGGCAGAACGCGCGTGAACGGGTAACCCGCACAGGGGAAGGTGTCCAACAGCAGGGCCAGTGGGGAAGCGCTGCGTCACGCCCTCCGGAAAGGCTGAGTGCCCGGTGAGGACAGCAGGGCCTCAGGCCGCCGGCAGCCGTGACAGACGTGGGCGGTTCTCTCTGAGCCCCAACAGGAGACGGAATAAATACACGGTGATGAATCTGTGAAACATGCTGAACAAACCCGCAGGAGATGCGACACTGTGAGGAGTCTGAACCACGAGCTGTAAGTGGAGGAAGCCTGATACAGGTGAATTGAGTGATTAAATTTGTATGAGCTTCTAGAAGCTCCTGTGAGGGGAACCAGGCAGGTGTAGGTGGGCACCCTTCAGGGTGATGGGGGGGGCTCTATGTCCTGACCGAGAAGGACATTACCCAGGTACCCAGGTGCACACTAAGGACCTGCTTTTGTGTCAGAAAGAGAACAGCTCACAGATTTCCTTCTCCGATTCCCAGCGGCATTGCCTAGACCTTGAGAGGGGCTGGGGTTTTAAAAAAATTTTTTTACTGTTTATTAATTTTTGAGAGAGACGGAGCACTAGTGATAAAGGGGCAAAGAGAGACACAGAATCTGAAGGAGGCTCCAGGCTCTAAGCTGTCAGCACAGAGCCCGACACAGGGCTTGAATCCATGAGCGGTGAGATCATGACCTGAGCCGAAGTCGGACTCTTAACCGACTGAGCCCCCCAGGAGCCCCAGGGGCCAGTTTTACACCAGAGTTCAAGGGTCAGAGGCAGCCCTGGAAAGCTGGTGGCCAGCGTGTGGGACATGGTCCCACTCTGCACCGCGCGGTGGTGACACGCAGCTATTTCACGCTGGGACCATGCTAGTTGCTTCCACACACTCGAGGTGGGGGAATCAACAAGAACAACCCCAGACCTGATGCTCCAAGCAGCTGGACAACATGGGCAGCGAGGACTCTGACTCAGGTTTCCAGTCCACACCCAAGATGGGTGGCCGCTGTGTGGCTGCCTCTGACCCAGGCTCACCTGGGGCGATGCCAGAGCCAGTCAGCGAGTCCGCACCCCAGCTCCCCCCTCTCTGTTTGACAACTTCCTTCCAGGCTCTGGTGGTAACTCCTGGTCCCCTCTCTGAAAGGGTCCTTGTTTTCACACGACCAGCACACAAACACTGGTGACTTCTTTTTGTGAATCTCCCCACGTATGACCGGCAGGCCTGCAAGATGCTGGCCCAGTAGCAGCTGCAGCTGGGAAGAGCCGCAGCGGCCGATGGCCAAGGTCACTGGAAAAACCACGAAAGCAGCCTCAAGTTCTAAGCCCTAAGTGCCGCTCAGAGGCAGACTCAGGTCAAGGCGGCAGGCAGACTCCACCGGGACACCTGCTTCCTGGGGGGGCGCTGGGCCCCGATGAGACATGATGTCATGGAGTCTTATCACGTCTCAGGGAGGCAACCTTCCCGGGGAGGGGTGGGGAGGTGCCCGCCCCGGGAAAAGAAACACGATTTCCAGCCGTTGGATGAGGTCCTGAAGCCAGGAATAAAGCCGCCTTGTCCTGCCCACCCAGACCACGCTGCCGAGAGGGAGTCCAGCAAATTCCTTCCATGGTCGGTCTGTAAAATAAAAATGTTAAATTTCTCAAAGGTCTAGCTAAATGGACGTGATTGTGGCCATGGAGAAATAAATCTTTAATTGCTAAGTGAAACAGATGAAAAGTTTCTTTAATCTGAAAAAGATAAAATTGAGCCTAATATTAACTGCACCATTCCCATGTATATTGCTCCGCTGAAATAATGTTGTTTTTCTTTGTGGGTGGTATGATCTTAAAATTCCAGTTAATTCTATTTTCTCTGTCTTCTGCCAAGGACAGAACTTGTTGTCTCCATTGTGTGTATGTGTACTGATTATTTATTCTGTCTGCATTTGATTATTAATTGGTCTGAATGTCAATGTGGTCTTCCTCTTGCGGTCTTCCGCCTCCTGCAGTAAATGTTGGCCCTACTTACGGCCGTGTGGTTCTCCGATGCCTTCAGGTAGGTTTTAAAGCTAGTTTCCCCAGCTCCTCTCGACACCCCCCAGCGGAAGAATCGGGGGAACTCTCATAGATAAGCACCGGTGATGTGTCGAGTTCTTTCTCCCGGCATCTCCAGGTTTCTGACCTCACCTTAGAATGCTATTCCTTGACTTGGCCTTGCTACACTTCATACCCGTTCGTTGTGGTGGTGGATGGTGTTTATCCATCCTACCTGCCTCTCCTTTCCCCCCACAGCGTTCTTTCATAATTCCTGCTCAGCCCCATCTACTTCACATCGTATCAGGACTGTGTGAAATCTCGTTCACTGAGGATTCGCATGGCTGAGAGGAAACCTCCAAAGTCAAGTGTATTTGGAGTGATGAGGGGGATTCCCTTCCAAGCCTCAGCTGCCCCAAACAATGTCTTGCATTTTCCAGAAAGGTCTCGAATACAGCAAGATGTCGTCATTCTGAGACAGGCTATAGCTCCTCCCACCTGGGACCGACCCCGGGGGACCCTCTACCCACGGCGATGCCGGGAACTGGAACGCAGGTGTCCTGGCCCAGCAAGGAGCTTCTCCGCTGACCGCTTGGTGCCCACGTCCCCCCAGGATGAGGCCAGGGCTGCCTCCCACCAACCTCGTGAAGCGAGACTTGGGAAAATCTCCTCAAACAGAATTCCAAGTGTTGGCTCTGCTGATGAGAGGGAAGGCAGTTAAGAAAGATTCTGGTCTTGGTCAGAAGAGAGAAATTCGGGAATAAATTAGAGTGGCCTATTGAGTTCACAGTGGCCGGGACGTCTGATGTGAACGGGCCCCCTCATAAACTCTGACAGAAATGTCCAAAGGTGCTTTTTAAATGTGTTTCATTAGGAAAATTACTGCTGTTTGTGTTTGGGGCGTGAGGATTAGAAGGGTGGTGGGACGGACCCCCTCAAATCCAGCGCTATCTGCGCCCCAACCTGCCGGCCCTACAATACGCTTTCCCTTGTCCTTCTAAGGGCCTGGGCTTGGCTTGGAAAATAGTCATGGTGACGGGCGCCCAAAGCAAGGGGGTACCTGGGGCAGCGCTGCCCCCGAGACTCCCACCCCCCAGGACAAGGGAGTGCCTGGCCTGGTCGTCCTGGTGAGGGATGAGGTCAGGGCTGTGCTGCCACGTTCCCGCAGCAAGCCTGGGGGGCAGGAACACTGTCCTGGGGCACCAGCCTCTTACAGCCTTCTGGATCCCTGGTGGAAACTCTCACTGGCAGCGACTCCCCACTGTGATGCTTGCTTCACTGCATTTCTTAGTCCAAGGCTCAAGAGAAGCTTCTTCACTCTGTCTTCCTTCCTCATTCCCTACCTCCCATCCCCCTTCCCTTCATCCCTCCAACCAACCCCTCCATCCCCTCATTCTAGCCCAACCCCTGGCTGCTCACTGAGGCTGGCTGTCCCCCGACCCAGGGACCCCAGCCATGCTACATGGTCTGATGAGCCTAGGGCTGGAAACCCTCTGCCCCCACTCAGCACCTGCTCTGGCAAACCTCCCATCTCCCCCCCCCAGGAGCAGACATGGACACCAGGGGCGCTGGCACAGTGCACTTCATCCGTCTACCAGGCCTTTGTTGAGCATGTACTAGGGACCAGGCACCGAACAGGGCTTAGGAGACCATGATGAATAAGACAAGGTCCCTGCCCTCAGGGGCTCACAGTCCAGGCACAACACAAGGCTACCTATTGGTGACAAAAATCCGTAGGGTCACAAGGAATGGCAGCTGTGCTAGGAAATTCAGCAGGCAGATTGGGATGAGGATGGAGAGAAGGAATCCTTTCCTGACACCCTATGAGGCCTGTGAGGGCCAGCGGCAGTGGGACATAGAAGAAAGGCCTTTGCTTGGAGCCTGTAGCCCAGAGTGGAGAGCAGCTGGACAGGCTCACAACTCAAAGGAAGTAGTGTGTGCTTGTCTTAGAAGAATGGGTAAGGTGACAAGAGTTTGCACAAAAGGGAGGGAGGCCATTGAATTGGAGGCCTACCAGGGCCCTGGGAGAACATTCTAGAAGGAAGAGGTGTACTGGGGGATGTGTGCTCTAGAGGAGTCAGGGCGGGGGGCACAGAAACAGGGGGGTGAGCCCTGAGCCCAGGCCTAGGGGCTCCTCGCACGTGGCTGCAGCACTGGGGCTGCTGGATTGGGGGGAGGCTGTGTGTGAGCCACGGGGTGACTTTGGCACACCTTCCTTGGTTTTCTTAACACTATTGCAGAAGAACATTTCTGGTATTAAAATAAGCACAGAAAAAGACAGAATGTAAAATATATATAGATTTCTTTTGAGATAAAGAAAAATACAACCTCAAAGAAGTTTTGACTGCCTGCAAAGGCGCCTCGGTGTGAGGACCCCCTGTGGCCTACAGGGTGACCAAGGAAAGATCTGAGAAGCCTGACATCCTTGGTAGATATGAGCACCCCCACACACACGAGAAACCAGGCCCACAGAGGGCACGTCATGCACTCCGGGTCACACAGCCCATGGATGCAGACTCAGGACTCAGACCAGGATGTGAGCCCAAAGCCCAAGGTCTCCCTGCAGCTGCCTGAACGGTTGACGAGTGGGAAGAAATAGAACTGAAAAAGAATGTTCATGGCTCACAGAGGTCAGACCTCGAGGGTCAGTACAGGAAGTGTGGTATGGCTGCAAGACGTTCCGGCTTCCTGGGGGTCACCCCTACCGCTAGGCGGAGTATGAACAGAACCCAGGAATAGCACTGTTCCCAGGCAGGGGGGAAACACGCCTCTTTGTCCATGTGTCCCACTTAGTGTCATTCTGCAGGGGCAGCCTGAGTGCCGGGGAAGGGTCTCCCGGTGCCTGTCCCATGACTGAGGCACCCCCTGTGGTTGGCCCAATGGGCGGGAACAGTACTCCCTTCCACATTGGGGTTGGCGTGACCAGGCATAGTGTCGCTATGAAAATCAACAGCTCATTGTGTTCCTAGTGGGAAAGACAAACTCCAAAAAAGGACCCCCAAAATGGTAGCTTAGCACAGATGCACAGTTGTCTGTGGTTTGGGATTAGCCGACTAGGAGACGGTCGCTATGGTTTGCAGCTGAATGTCACCGTCTCTCTTCGTTTCCTTTTCTTTCTTTAGAATGTGCTGAGAGAGTTTATTAAGAAACCAGCTGACATCCTGGAGATCTTCGGGCCACCTCAAATACTGCCGCTTCCGCACAAATCCCCTGAGAGACTGATGCTTCATCAGCTGGTACTGGGACAGGGACCCCACGACCACCAGGATGAGGGCGCCGTCGAGGTCAGACACGCACCTGCTCTGGGCATAACTGAAGGCTTCAAGACACCAGCCGTCTCGGAGGAAGTGTCTGCTCACAAGACAGACCACCTTCCTGCTGCTCCACACGGCGTCCTGGATGTTGGCAATGTGGTCTTGCCCCGGGACAAAGTCTCTCTCCTCGAAGCACAGGTTAAATCTGTTTTGGTCATTGTACTGAGCATCCAGGTGCTTGAGCAGAGCGTTTTGCACCCACTCAAAGTCTTTGTTGCTGAAGCACAAATACGCATCGTATTTGTACACATCAGACCCACTGCCCTTGGCCTGGTCCATGGACAGCAGTCTGCAGGCTGCCTTGTAGCAGATGAAACAAAACCCCCGGAACTTGGTGATTGTGAGGACGGTCGTGAGGAACAGAGTCACAGTGACACTGGATAGAATGAAAAAGGACAACTTTAGGGACTTTAAGACTTCCTCTTCGTCACAACCCTCCATAGACACAGAGGAGAGGGGGGTCCCAGCAAGCGAGGCGGGGTGCATGCAGAGGATGTCTGCATGAGATCCAAACACAGTGACGTTGGTCTGGTTGAGCCAGCTGATGAAGCGACGGAGTTCGCACTCACAGATGAACTTGTTGTACCTTATGTCTACGGCACTGAGGGCCGCAAACAGATCAGGGTCAGGGAACAGGAGCTCGTTTCTGGACACATCAAGGACCTCCAAATTAGCAGGCAAGTCGCTGGGAGAAAGAACAGTCAGCCTGTTGGAGCTGAGGCTGAGCCCCCTCAGTGCAGTTAGGTCGCTAAATATTCCTGGTGGAAGGAAATTCAGGTAGTTGTTATTTAGATACAGAATCTGGAGCCGGGAGAGCCCCTTAAAAACATCCCAGCAGAAGCCGGTTTCCCAAGCAAGCTGCAACATGTTTCCTCCAAGGAAAAGTTTCTCCAGGCTGAGGCTCCCCGTTGGGGCATGAACTGGGTTGCAAGAAGAAAGGCGGTTTTGATTCAGAATGAGGGTCTGGAGGTGAGGGACCCGGAGAAGGAAGTAAAGACTGTCCAGATTTTCCAACCTGTTCTCTGATAAGTGGATGAAATTGGCTGTAAACCTCATGTTCGGCAAGGTCGCCAGTTTATTGCTGCCCAAGAAGATAGTAGGGATGCTCGGAATGAAAGAAATGGTTTTAAGAGCATTATCACGGAGATCCAAGGTCTGTAATGCTTTCAGCAATAGGAATGTCTGGTCCTGAATGATCCCAATGTGGTTGTTTTGAAGGTCAATATAGGCTACCTCTGGGAGTCCACGGAAATCAGAATTATAAAGCTCACCCAGAAGGTTATATGACATGTTGAGAACCTGTAGTCTGTCAAGTCCATAAAATGCTTCTCCTGCAATCTTGTTTATCTTGTTGTGGGCAAGGTTCAGGACTTTCAAGTGCCGGAGAGACTCAAAGAGTCGAAAGTTCAGGGAGAAGATAAAGCCGTGTGAAAGATCCAGATGCACCACTGAGCTCCTGGCCAGGCCAGCAAATGTGCTCCGGTCAGGGTCCCTGATGTTATGGAAGCCAAACCCAGACCCCATAATGTGGTGAGCAAGAACCAGAGAGGAGATCTGGCTCCCATTGATGGCCTTGCTGAAGTTCCCTGTGATGTCTGCGGTCCAGCCATTGCTCGAAACATCTAGGGTTTCCAGCTCCATGTCTCTGAACGGGTTCATACATTCCTCCCAGTCCATGGAGACCCTGTTGTACAAGTTGTTGGCAGCGAGGCTTATGAAGGAGAACGTCTTCCCTTGGAGAGGCTTGAGCTCCTGTTCACAGACAATGGGTATTTGGTTGAGGGAAAGATCAATGGACTTCAAGGAATTCAGTTCCCAGAATGAAGGATGAAGGGAAAGGCTACGGATCTGATTTTTAGAGAGGTCCAGGCGAGCCAAAGACTCTAAATTTCTGAAATAACCATCTTTTAATACAGCATCAGAGAGAGTGCAGTAGAAGAGTCGAAGTTCAAACAGGTGGGGCAGCCCCTGAAAAGCGTCGGGATGCAGGAAACGCATGTGGCTCTTGCCCAGGTCCAGGACTCTAAGATTGGGCAGGTTCCGGAAGGCCTCTCTGTCAATACTCATGGGGGTAAGCTGAGTCCCAAGCTCCAGCAGCCCCAGCTGCTCCAGGAAGGGAAATGATGAGGTGGTGATGTTCTCGATGTAGTTGAAGCTCAGCAGGAGGATCTCAGTGGTGCCGGGCACCCACGGCACCTGGGTGAGGTTGCAAGATCGGTACAAGGCTAGCCGACCGTCTGAGGAGCAGGAAGAAATCTCGAGCACAGGACTGGCCATGAGCACCACTCCGAAGAGAAGGTCAAGGTGGTCTCCCATGATCCCACGGAGAAGACGGGAGAATGAAGACACAGCAGTCTGAGCCCCAGGCATTGCGCACGACCCCGAGGACCTGGGTGCTCCCCCACGACGTCCCTGCTGCCGCAGACCCTTTGTTCCTCCAGCCCGTGGGTGCAGCTGTGATGGACGGACTGTGTAGACAGAGCCGTTCTCTCTCAATCACTCATGGTGCAGGCCTACAAGGTAAGCACTAGTCTAAGTCCTTCAGAAACACTCAATCTTTACAATAACTGTCCATTAGTTCACACAATTGGTTATTCAAGATCTGTGGAGGACGCGGGAGAAGGCAGCAGGCAGAGATACGTTTGCGTGTCCCCTGGGCCTGGGGCTCCGCTGTTGTGTCTCTGCAGCTGACCTGGCAGGGCCGCCAGCCGGTCGGCTCCTCAGTCCTCCATCCACATACAGGATGCCTTAGCTCACAAGCACGAGTTACTTGATGCCACTCTCCACAAAGTGTCAGGCGGGATGGGTCTAATGCAGGCTATCAGCCGCCGCTGAGCCCGGCACGTGGGGCCGTGTGGTTGCTCGGCGGCACAGCAGCATCTGACTCATGTTCCCAGGGCCAGGTTGTGGGGATGGAGAAAACGCGGGGAATCAGCCTTCGGAGCCCCTGTGTCTGGTGCCCATGGTGGATTCCATGGGCTCTCACTGTAACGTCCAAAGGGAAGGACAGACTGATGCAGCTCAGGAGCCGGGAGAAGGAGGGGTGGTGGAAGGGAGAAGGGGGCACCTGCCTTAACCCCTAGTTCATAGTGAGCTCTGCAGACGCTTTGCTCCATGTGGGGGCTGGTTTCCATGGAAACCCTGAGGCTGTGACACACAGATTATAGCAAATCACAAGTAGGTATTGACTCCGAGTTGACTCCAAGTATCAAAACCGGGCCTTTAATAGTCACTGGGAAGAAGTCGGCGAGAATGCTGATCCAATCTGTTCATTTCTCGCCATTTCCGACCAAGGCCCAAGGCAGCAGCCAAGAGTCCCTGCACCTCCCAGGGGTGGCTCGCCCTCCCAGCGGGCTGGGGACTCTGCTGTCCCCTCCCTGCACAGAGCCTGTCCCCTTCCTGCTGCCCTGGGGATGACAGCCACAAGGACTTTTGTGCTCTGGCTTTGTCTTCCCAACAGGTTCCTCGACAAGTATGTACAGAGCATCCACTATGTGCTGGGCACCATTTGGGACACAGGAGAGTGGGTGTTGAACACACAGGCCACACCTGTCCTCATGTGCTGGTGCAGAGAAGCAGCAAAGGGGGGGGGGACACCCAACAAAAGAAGGAAAAATGGAGACAGGGACTGCCAGGGCCAGGTGCTGGCTGCTACTTGGAGAGTGGTCAGGAAAGCTCTCTCTGATGAAATTGTACCAGAGCAGAGGCCTGAAGGGAGGAAAGGAAAAGGAGAGGCCCTAATGTGAGGTGGGAGGAGCAGTCAGCACCAGTCCTGGGTGGCTGGGAGTTCCAGATGGGTCTCCTGCCTGCCATTCCAAACTCTTTCCAACCTCAGGGACTTGGCACATGCTGCTTCCTGTGTTTGGAAGCATGTGCTTGGCACATGCTGCTTCCTTCTCTCTGGTCCTTATATGTCTGGATCTCACATGGACACTTCTTCAGAGAGCCTCCCCCACACTCACTATTTGCAATAACTCTTCCAGAAATCTGTCCACAGCTGCTGTCAGGCTCTCTAGTGTGTAGTTTATGAGTCACCTGTGTCCCTTCTTATAAGTCAGAATTTCATTCCTGGGGACAGGGGTCACTTCTTTGGTCCTCTGTCCCTGCCAGCCCCCAGAATGTGCTCCATGTGCGAGAAGCCCTGAGTGAATGGATTTGCAGCTCCCTCAGGGCCTCCGTCTGGCCCACGGCCCCACAGGGGCTGCTTCCTGCATGCTGACGGCTCTTCTGTGGTTCTGAGTCCCTGGATGGACTGGTCTGCATGCGAGCCTGAGTCCTCGCCTCTCCCTCTTGCCAGGTTAGCCCTACACTGTCCCTTCCCTCTTCTTCCTCGTCTGGACCAGCTGGACGTGTCCTTTTGGGCATCTGTGTCTCTTCCTCCAGGTTCAGAGTATTTGGGGCTGTGGCCCCTCAAGTCTCTTCTCACTGGTCAAACCCTGTGTCCTGTTCATGTTTGGTCTTGGACCCTCATTTCTGTCTTCAGTGTACATATTCTGAAAACCTAACTGGGTGGGCGAGGTTGAACAGGTTCCCTTAATTCCTCCTGGCAGAGGCCTCCAGTGTGAGCGCCACGCTCTCGGTGGCCAATTCTGCAAGGTTCGCTCCAGGGCGTTGCCTCTCTGCCGGCCGGGGCCGCCCTGCCCCTGCCCAGGGACCTCCCAGCAGACCCCCATGGACACACGCACCCTTCACCCAGCTACCCCAGGGAGCCCCAGGGCACACCTCTGATCAGAAGCCTTCACAGCTCCTTCTGCCCACGAAGGGAACAGGACTTCTAGGCCGTCCACTGTGGACTGTAGTCTAACCTGGAACTTCTGACCTTCTCACCTGACAGAGGGGATCCCAAGCCAACGCCCCCTCCCAGCCACACCTGTGGTCTGGGCCAGTGCTCCGGAGGGAGGCCACCTTCTCAGAACTTGGCCTCCACCTGATTTCCCTGCTTAGGCAGGACCCCGGGGATGGGAGATGCTTCTGTCTGAGTATCCGGCTCGCGCTTCAGAGGCCACCTCGGAGCCCAGCTCCTCCACGACACAGTCCTCATGCCCTGCCCCCCACCCTGGCACCCTGATATTCTGTCCACATATTCAAGGAGGTGTCCACACCTCCCTGACAGCATTTTTATTAAATTACACCTTCTTCCTAGACTGCACATTCCTTGAGGGCAGAGACACTGTCTTTATTTGTACAGTATCCCCAAGGTAGTACAGTTTAACACCCCAATGATATTATCCCTACTAATATTCTGAAGGTTTATTATTGTCAGAATCACCTCCCAGTCCTAACACAGAGAGCTCCTAACACGTCCTTGTTCTGGGGACACAGCCCCCCACGCCCGGGTTGGTCCAGGGCTCCCGTTCCTGAGACCATAGGAAATTCATCACAGTGATGAAGGTGGTCAGTGTTGATTTAATGAATCAGGAGGAAGGGCTTTTCTTTTCTTAAAGGAGAAAAGCTAATTAAGAGAGAGAAACAGAAACCGCGAAGCACATGTTTTTCTCTGCTATATAGCACTTTTCTCTGTAGAAGAATTTAAAGCTTTACGTGTGTCTCTTATGGGGCAGAATTTCAATTGGAAAAGATCAAGACCATTTTGTAAATCAGGGCACGTGGAGCATCAGAGCTGAAGGCTTCTTGAGACGTGTAGGCCCAGCCTCTGGTTCAGAAGGTGGGTGTCTGGGCCAGTCAGATGGGAGATTTCTTCCTTGGGACTCCGCGGAGGGAAACTCTACACTTTCACGATCCAGTGCATTCTTCTTCAAATCACTGGTGGTGAGGAAGTGTCTTGCTAGACCAAAACATCCCTTTCACGTGACCTTGCCGTGGCCACTTGGTGATGAAGGCTTAAGCCCAGGGTTGAGGGCAAACAAGCACTGTCTGTTCTATGGCAAATGTCCAAGTTTGCCATCAGAGCTTGGCGTTTGGAGCAGCCCGGCTGGCTAAATTAGGGCCCAGTTAGGGGACATGGGCTCAGAATCATTAAGCCTCAGGTTTAGAATGAGGGGTCCTGTCGGCTGAAGAGCTGATGATCACACTGCTGCTCACAGAGGCTGAGCTCAGTGTCGTGCATCCGTCCAACTGGGAGCTGTGGCTTGAATCCAGCTACAAGCTTAGTCGTCATTTTGATCTTTTCAAATAACTCAAAGTGGAGTATACTGCACACGGCACCGCGGAGGGTGCCTAGGGATCACCTGCGGAGGTTGCTGAAATGCAGATCTGGTCAGTAGGCAGGGCCGGGACCTGAGGCTCTGGCTCTCCACAAGCCTCCAGGTGGTCCTCACAGTCCGAGTGACAAGGCCCTAGACCTGTGATTGGTCGGCGCTCACTGCTCAGGCTGCCTGTCCTCCTGGGGACCAAGGCTGGCCAGAGGCTGCCCGGTCACTTCTTGGAAGGGGCCACGTTAAAACCTTTGCCCCAACTCTTCTCAGACCAGGCGGGTGAAGCATCAGATGGTTGCTAACGAGGATCAGCGGAGGGTCCTGAGGCCTGGGCTGGACGGGACACGGGGGGTGGCTTGCTTAGCGGTGGAAACAAGTGCACGGGGCCTCCAGGGTTTCAGGGAGGGCGCTTCTCCCGCCGACCGGCAGGGGGCGGCAGAGGGCGGGCCCGGGCGCGGCCAAGGCGCCAGCGCTGGGCGCGCAGGTGCACAGGGGCCCCGGGTGGGGGCTAGCCCAGGCCGGTGGCATCTTCTTCCCCAGCGCATGGCTTGGAAATAATCATCCACACCGCCCCGCCCCCGCCCCACGCACGCTCTGAGCGCTGCATCTGTTTTGCAGCGCACACAATTTTGACTGGAGGAGGGAGATCAAAATGAGGACGAAGTTTGGACCTGGATTTGAGTCCTAGTTCCAAGGACGCGTGACCTCGAGCAAGTGCCCAGCCTCTCTGAGCACCAGCGTGACCGTCTACACACCAGCAACAATAAGGTTCTCCTGCCCGGGACACTTGGGGGCCTGGTCCAGAGCAACCGGTTCCTAATGCGCCACCCTCTGATGTTTCTTACTGCTTATGTACAGACATCATTTGTCCGAGCGCACCTCACCAGGAAAGCACTCCCTCTCGAACCACTGAAGGGGAACACGGAGGAGGAACCAGGATTTGCCAGCATGCCGCCGCGATGAGGTGCTTCCCTTTGCTGCACTCCTGGGAAGTTATGTACATCTTGCCCGATGGCCTTTAACGTGTTCAGGTGGTGGTGCCCCCCCCCCCACCCCCCGCCAGCGTCCAGAGGAGCTGGTGTTCTGAACACAGTGTGCTGAAACCCCAACGGAATGGTTTCTCTGTTTGTTAAGAAATTCTGTAGCACCGTTTTAAAACAGCTGACCGAGAAAAGAAATCTTTTCTCTTGGGTGATGATTAAAGACTAACAACATGCACCACACGTTTAAAATCCTCGAGAAAAGGGAGCTTGTCAAGGACTATCTCTGTCTCCAGCTTCAGACAGCACCAGTACTCAGA